CCTAGAGTTTTAAGATTCAAAATGTGAATATTAAGATGCAAACACAATTTATTAAATTCTTATTAAGAGTTGGTGTCAAATGTAGGATTTCAATCATATAAGTTACGGTTGRATCTGAACTGTAGGATTGAAATTGTGAACCATAGGATTTTAATAACAGGATATGGCATTAAACAGAACAGAATGACAACATGATTCATGTAGTTGACCCCAGCCTTCAGTTATATAACAAGTTTGAATCCTTCTCTATTTAGTGTTGCTTGAAGTGTAAGGCTCTTTATTTAAGAAATGAATATTGAATGCAAACTGTACTTATCTTCAGTCCCCACACTCCCTGATCTGTTAATGATTAAAAAAATGTATCGGTAGTAAAATCTTTAGTGTATGCCCAGGTTTATATCCATGCAAGCATAGTATTTACTATTGGGTTTCTTGGTAAATTGGAAATGCTTCTTGTATGATCAGTTGAAAGAAGTTAAAAGTGTCTTTAGGTGTTGAAGAACTAAGGGCTTTATGCTCATATGCGAAATAGTCAAATCACCTTAAGGTGGTAAAGTATCACATGCAGACTATAGTACTATGTAGCTAATAACTTCATTTCATGGTCTGTTTTCTTGGTAGAGTGAAATTGTTGTCAATAGCTTCATTACAATGACATGAGATTTTAATTGTCTATTGCAAAACATCATAATGATTATTTGATTGTAGATTCTTAGCTCAGGACAACAGGTTGTGGAGGTTTTTKATATTTTTTATTTTTAAGGACTCATGGATGCATTTATAGCCTTGTCTTGTGCAAATGAGTGTCAAATAGTATTCTCCTCTCTACTCCATTCCTTAAARAAAGCTTGATGGATAGCAGCTTGCAAAATATAAGAGTGAGAGCAGGGAGCTATTCTTTTATAGAACTCTCTTACTCCAATCATAACCTATCAAGTATTGGGGATTGGGTAAATCCTAACTTGACTATTCCTTACCATTTACAAAATCAGTTTATTGCACATGTACAAAGATGTTCAATCAAAGTCTCAATCATGGTTCCCTATTGGCCTATTCTCAAAAGGAAAGCTGTACAAAGGTGAATCTTTATAGATTAAGTGGGAGAAGTCRAAATTTTCTTTGATATGGATATTTTACTAGAGAAGAGAAAGACAAATTTTCAAATGGAAAATTTCTCATTTTCAATTCCATTATATACTTAAGTCTCACACTGTCACACATATAGGAAAACTGAAGCGGTCAACTATGCCTTACARGTTGTATTTCAATGTAAAATTTGTAAAGATACTAGGTCCAAGTGTTTTGGTAAAAGATGACTTCATCCAAGTGTATTGCTAAACAGTCTAGCAAATGCACATTGAGGGCCTGTTTGAGAGGTCTTAATTTAAGCAGCCTTCCTTAAGTGGCTTTAAAGGCTTAAAAAGTTGGTTATACACCCAGCCTTCCWTGAATTTTACCTTTTTCATTGCTCATCCAAAAAGCATGTTTATTGGACTTCTGTGGCTTAACAGTTAACAATGGTCTGGTCTAATTTTTTTTTTTTTTATTATTATTAATATCAATAACAGAGACATTTTATTAGAAATAGGTCAAGTGAAATAAGTACAACTCTCTTAACTCTCCCCACAAGAAACAACAACATTACAATATAGCCCAAAACATTTGACTCCTTCCCACCCCTTGCTTAGCAAGTGTGTCTGTAAAGAAATTAGCACATCTTTTAACCCATCACATTCTCACTTCCATTCCCTGGGTAAGCCACATAAATTTCCTTTTTTCATTAATGAAGCTTCACAAGCCATCTTCCTTGTTCTCTAGCTAGCCTATTGTCAATTTTGAAATCCTTCAATGATCAACCTGCTTATGTTCATTTCCTTGGCCCTTTTTGCACCCTCCAAAACAGCTGAAATCTCTCTGCTCAAAGTGAATCCCCCACACCAATTGGGCCTGAATACAAGGCAATAACTTTGCCTTCCTCATTCCTGAAGACTCCTCCAACACCTGAACAGCTGGGGTTACCTTCATTACTACCATCAAAGTTCAACTTGGTGAAACCAAAAGCTGGAGAAGGCCACAATAGAAGGGAAATATCTTTTCTAGGAGCTGAAGCTGCCACTTCCCTCCAATTATTATTATTATTATTTTTTGAAAGAAGTTAACTGATTTCATTAAGGAAAGATGGGTACACAAGAGGGTGTACAAATACAAAACAGGGGCCAGACTCCTGAGAATTACACAGGTGGAATTTTATCACAATAYAAGGTCTCCAGAATGACACCTAATTTTGCTAATCCATCTGCAATAGCATTTAGTCCCTTGGAATCCAGTACAGAGAAACATTCGTTGGAGCGAATAGGTCCCTTGCCTCTGTTAAGAAGTGACTAAGTCTCCATGGTCCAGCCTCCTGTTGTCCTAACCATTTTACCGTATTTGCTGAGTCACCTTCGATGGGGAAGTTCTGAATACCCAGTTTGCTGACTAGGCAAATCCCTGTAAGAGCTGCTAACACTTCTGCCTTTGTGGWGTCAGCTATCCCAATCGGTCCACTGTATACCCAGCAGGTGAGTCCATTTTCGTCTCTTAGGATTCCCCCTATGCTGACAATTATTTAACAAAGCCGTTGTAGAAATATCAGCAAGAAGTCTAGGGATTTCACCCACTGCACCATTCTAACCATGATTGCTTCAATAACTGCTCCTCTACTTTCTTTTTCAGCAAAAATTCTTTGGTTCCTCTCCTCCTAGACTGTCCAATAAATTGCGGCTCTTGTGCATCTCCACAATGCTCTTCCTCTCTTCTTAGTCCCACTAACAGTAGAAAAGTTAAACATGCTTTGAACATTTAGCRTAGGAGTCCACCTGCAACCAAACAAAGAGAGAAACCAATCCCAAATAGACAAAACAAAAGGGCAGGAGATTAATAGGTGAAAGCAAGATTCACCATTAGCTTTACAAAGAATACACCAATTAGGGGATAAGCACCAAAAAGGCTTCTTTCTTTGTTGTAGGTCACAAGTGTTTATCCTGTCCAAGAAAACTTCCCAATCAAAGGTCCCAATCCTTGGAGGAACCGRTTTACCCTGAACTTCCTTAACTGGAAAGGGCTGTCCAAGACTATTTATTAGAAGGAAGTGATAAGGCTTTGGAGAAAGAGGCATAGGTAAGTACCAGAAGTGGAAATGGTCCAAATCCGAGAGTCCAATTTTGAGAAATCTAAGCAAACCCCTTGTAGGGTTTGAAGCAGTGCCAAGATATAGTCCAATTCCGAATCTTTAATACCCCTCCTAAAGCTCAAGTCCCAATCTACCTCAGAACCCACACCAGAAAGGATTAAAAAATTAGACACAAGCTCATCTTTAAAGCTGGAGATGGAGAAAAGAGAAGGGAATTGTTCTTTTAAAGGCAAATTCCCCACCTAAACATGTTCCCARAACTTTACCAAGTTCCTAGAGCAAAGATTATATCTTATAAAAGGTAGGAATGAAGGTGGGGCGGCATGTGTAGATTTCTAAGAAGAAGCACTAGTAGCTCACTCCCGTATCCCAACCCTCATCCGCCATCCCATGAATGCTCAAGATCACCTTAGCCTACAATCTATCCTTATCCACTAGCAATCTTCATAGCCATTTCCCTATGGTGTGACTTGATCTTTACAACCCTGTCAGCCTAGAAAGTTGATAATCTTTGATAGGAAAGTCATCCCAAATGCC